GAGGGAGAGGGAGAGGGAGAGAGAGGAGACCTCAACCACCTTTCGGTCCATCCGTGGCTTCGCTCTGCCATCCGTGAGTCACAACAACCAACCTCTCCTACAGGTTTCCTATTTTTGAAACTTCCGCCACCGCCTTGTGCGGCACTACTGGTATAAATGTGTTTTTAGAGAATAGCTGGTGAAGATTGGTGATTGGTGAGTGTGAAGTAAAACTTTTAAAACCATTGAACTTCATCAGACACTTTTGAAAGTGTCGCAGTCACATCGGCTCTGTAGCCTTATTTAGAAGGATTTTTAGAAGGATTTTTCTGCAGGATGCATCATTGAATCCCTCATCTCTCTGCAAGGCGGGAGGCCGCAGCTACATTGTGTCCAGCGATGCCAGTCTCCAGAGGCGATGTTCTTTTAATCTTCCTGATGTTCATGTCGCAGCTGCAATCTTCACAAACTGTTGTCTTCCTGCGTCCATGTTGTTTTAGAAACAAACTTTTTCAAAGGGTTTTGACATCAGCTGTGGCAGATGGCTGCAGGATGATTCACCTGCTGAAGTCGAAACCATTGGTTGGGTGACCGAGGACTTATGGGAGCAGAATTAGATAATGCTAGTGCTCAGCAAAGTTGCATAAAGATGTGACACTGTCAACCCCCACAGTACTTGTTGCAAAGCAGAACGTAGGTGCACTCAATCCACCTCTCAATTCCACTCGCCCAATCCTTTTTCATTTTTCCACATTTCTGCAAAGATGCAAAGGTAATCAAATTGATCAAAGATGAAGATAATCAACGATGATTATCAAAGATGGGCAAAAGATGTGTAAAAGACTAAGGATTCCTCAGTGCACATCCAAGTCCTGGCGGCTATGCAGCGTTTGTCCTTGAGACGGAGCGCCCAGGCAGGATGAATCGAGCTGAACCTTTCTGGATCTTGGGAGCATACGGATTCACGGTGATTCACGGTGATTCACGGTGATTCACGGTGATTCACGGTGATTCACGGTGATTCACGGTGATTCACGGTGATTCACGGTGATTCCAATCACACTGCAAGGACAGGATGATTGAGATGGGGTTGGTTGAATGGGTGGCTTGGCAAGGACGCCGTCATTGAGTCATTGAGCTTCTTTGCTTGTCTCTTGCATAGGTGGTACTTAATGGTGGGTAAGTACCGCCTGGCTTTAATTGTTCTCGGGAAGCACTTGGTAAGAGACTCTGCCATCTGCGGCCGTGGGTGACTCAGGCAGTGTATGTGTTGGGTTCGCCCACTGGAGAGGCTGGAAGAGCCACCTCTGGGACCTCATAAATTCTTTCCCAGAGAAGATTCAGCAAACCTTTCTATGTCAGATCTCTCTCTCTCTCTATATCTATGTATATATATATACATGTGATATAAAGATATGTACAGGTAGTCTATATTTTTTTTATCCTTTTGTGATGTCTTGAGGTGTGAAGTGCTTATCTCTTGCGGACTTCCCTGGGACAGGGGCATGGAATGCCATCAGAGTTCTCCTTAGAGTTTGGCTCTGCCATGCTCATGGTGCAGCCCTTGGCATCCTATGGTCAGCAAATGTCAGTCACTTCTGTCTCGGATTTGTCTTGGATTTGTCTGCAAGTTTCTGCGATTTGTGGCTTTGACCTGAGCTATCCCCTGTCAAACACTCTCGCAGAATCTCGCCTTGCGGTCTGCGGGAAAGCGACGCTGCTTGGAACAAGACATGCTGCCTGTGGCGATGAAGCTTATGGAGCAGCTTGGTGGATTGGTTTCAGTTGCTGTCAGTTGTGATGCTTAGAAATGCTCAGAATATCTTTATCATTTTCAAACAGATTGTGGCTATTGGCCAGCGTGGATCATCATGAAATCGCATAGCCCGCTAGGCCACTGAAACTTGACTGGAAACTGTGTCTGCCACCTGAGGCACTGGAACCCGCAGATCAGGACGCGGAAAAATCTGGGTCAGTGACACCTTTGCCGGTCTCACCGAAGAGCTGCAAAACCTGAGAGTGTGGAACAGCATGGAATGTTGATTCGAATTGGACAAATTCTGTTGATTCAAGACTAACAGTGATGAGGGAGTTTTTGCTCAGGACCCACATCAACGGGACGTGACTTGAAATGCAATCAAGATGAATGACAGCATTTTGTATTGAATCATTGAATCCCAAAGTGCAACCTGAAGGATCCTGAAGGTGGAAAAAACATCTTTGACACATTTTGAAAATCCAGATCACTTCAGTTAACCTGGAGGCCATTTTGTGTCATTTTGGATCATGTCCTCCAGGGCCCCCCAATGGCATGAGGCTTTACTCCTTGCTGTCTCTGCAAAGCTTCAGAGATTCTGCACAGCGTGCTGGCTTGGAAGCGATGCTGCGTTCCATCCACTCCCAGGCGGGAAGTATACTGCCAATGCCAGACCAGTGAACAAGAAGCTCACAAGGAGTGCTGCAGAAACACTGCGGAAGGTAATGCAAGGCGCAGGTCTGAACCAAGATTCATTGTGTTTAAAATTGTGTTTCACTATTCGAGACCAAATTGGAGTTACTTGCAGGTCCCGAACAAATTTGTCTTTAAATTGATTTCTGAATGCAGGCAAACAGCCTTGGAGATGACATCTCTGTAAGGCAGACTCTTGTCAGCAGACGGCATGAAGTTCGTGTTGAAACCATTTTACAATGGTAGCACATCAAAAACCATTTTAGTATAATTGTACACCAAACAATACCAAACACGTGTTCATCACCCAGAATAAAGAAACAGTATCACACTTGCAACTCCCTTTTATGATCCACGAGGAAAGTGGCATGGATTCACAGAGACTGCAGCTGTGGTAATTTGCAGATTGTTTGAATTGATATATAATAATTAGATTGTTTCAAAGCCCTCCATGCTGCTCCTCTTGCAGCCCAGGATTGAATATTTGCTGGAAGAGCTAAACCCCGAGGACAGCATGAGCAAGAATAGAAAGACATTGGATGTATTTGGACACAACATACTACACACTACACACTACACACTACACACTATCTATCCACACTATCTATCCACACTATCTATCCACACTATCTATCCACACTATCTATCCACACTATCTATCCACACTATCTATCCTTATCTACCTTTATCTGTCTCTATCTATCGCTCTATCTATGTATCTATCTATCTATCTATCTAGCTTTCTTTCTTTCTTTCTTTCTTTATCTGTCTATTTCTATCTAACTACCTTTATCTATCTACCTTTATCTATCTATCTTGATCTATCTATCTTTCTCTATCTATCTTTCTCTTTCTTTCTCCATCTATCTATCTATCTATCTGTCTGTCTGTCTGTCTGTCTGTCTTTCTTTACCTATCATCTTTATCTATCTATCTGTCTTTATCTATTTATCTTTATCTATCTAATATCTGTCTATCTTGATCTATCTATCTTTATCTATCTATCTTAATCTATCTATCTTTATCTAACTATCTTAATCTATCTATCCATCTACCTATCCTTCTTTACCTATCTAATTATACCTATCTCTATTTTTTTAAAACTTTATCTATCTGTCTGAATCTATCTATCTTTATCTACCTAGCTTTTTATATCTATGTCTATATCTATATATGTATATATATATATATCTCTCTCTCTCCATCTCTTTCTCTATCTCTATCTCTCTATCTCTCTATCTCTCTATCTCTCTATCTCTCTATCTCTCTATCTATCTATCTATCTACCTACCTACCTATCTATCTATCTATCTATCTCTCTCTCTATCTCCCTATATCTCTATCTCTCTCTATCTATCTATCTTTTTTTTTCAAAAACATCTATCTTTATCTTTATCTTTATCTTCATCTTCATCTTTATCTTTATCTTTATCTCTATCTCTATCTATCTATCTATCTACCTATCTCGATCTACCTACCTACCTACCTACCTATCTATCTATCTATATCTATCTATATCTATCTATATCTATCTATATCTATCTATATCTATCTATATCTATCTATATCTATCTATATCTATCTATATCTAACTATATCTATCTATATCTATCTATATCTATCTATATCTATCTATTTCTATCTATATCTATCTATATCTAGCTATATCTATCTATATCTATCTATATCTATCTATATCTATCTATATCTATCTATATCTATCTATATCTATCTATATCTATCTATATCTATCTATATCTATCTATATCTATCTATATCTATCTATATAGTTCTTATCAAGCTGCTGTTGGATTTCTTTCTTGCGATGTGCGACTCTTTAATGTCAATGCCGTCAATTGATAAATGATTTCGCCATGCCAGGAGGAATCACCAACCAGTGCCGGAGGTGAAAGTGGAGAAGATGATGAAGACGACGATGAGAATTTCCTTGAGGACACCTGTGGATAGGACACACCAGGCTTGAAGGACGTAGACGACGTAGACTTGAGTCACATCGTCTCATTGACATGTCTTTTCTCAAGAAAAAGGTCAGGCATCACACATCGCAGTGCTCGGCTGGGGAGGAACTGAAGTTTCGAAGTAGTACTGTAAGTGGCTACGGCTACATGAGACACATTTCCTTTAGGCACGTTTTCTGACTAATATGAGTGTCTCATCGACGCAAGGACGGAACCAATGAAAAGATTGAAGAACTCTTGGCACACAAGCAGTGAATTAATCAATGAAAGAAGGAAGGAATGAAGGGAATGACGAATGGCTCCTTACCCCCCTCTTCGTTGAGATATCTCACTCCTCAGGTATCGCTTCTTTGAGCTACCTTTTCTTTGAGGTGCCTATCCAACTCTGCTCTGAGCTGACTCTTCCCTGAAATACCTTAATGTAAATAATACAGACTAATACAGCTTGTTTGTTTGAGAGTACGCTGTATGCAAAACGCTTCAGGAGGAAGAATTGGCTGGTCTACTTTTGGGCGACCGCAGTGGCCACTCTGCAGAGGTAGGGATACCAAGATTCCGGGTGTTATGCGCGACGCAGGCTCAGCCTCCAGGGCCTTCATGGGATCGTAGGTGCAGAACTAGCCGTAACTAGCCGTAACTAGCCGTAACTAGCTAGATTCGTAGGTGTACTGTCAATCTGTCAATCTCGCAATCCACATTTCGTCTGACTTCAATCCGACAGACAAACACAGATCATGCTTCACTTCGCCTACTGTACTCACATATTGCACAACCTGTTTCTTCGGCGGTGGCAGGCATAGTTCATTTCATTCATTGATTTTGTGGCTGCTTGGGGTTTTGCCAAGATTTCTGGGCAGCTTGTTTTGGGAGATGCTGGTGGCAGATCTGAGTGCCAGTGTAGTACTTCGGGAACTGCTTGCAGCTTGCATAGAGCGTGGCGCTCACACCAAATTGGTGCCGAGCATACTTGCACTTTTTACACCGCATGCCCTCACAGATGGCACACATGCACAACAAGCATCTGCCCTAATCGAGCACAACTGCTTGCCTGGGGAATGTTCCAGCAGCATGGACAGCATGGTTGCAGAGAAAGCACTGGCCCGTGCTTTCAGGTCACTTGTCATCAATTTCGCCATCTTGTCATGAGATTGCGAGTATACAAAGATTTGGAGGGGACCTGATTCCAAGAAGTTGTGATAGCAGGTGAGATGCATTGACAAATCCAAAGCAAGTTCCATGGACTCGAGGCAGAAAAACGAGATTTATTACTGTAATGGATTCTTACATTCAGAAGTAGGAGGTTGGACATTTGCCATTCTACACAAAGTCATTGAAATGTGGCCCGATGCAGGAAGCCTTACAACCCTTTGCAGCAACAACTAGTGCTGTCTTGGAGGCTTTTATCATGAAGTTGCTTTGTTGCCACAGGAAGCTGTTCTTTTGCCACATTTTGCCGCAATATCCCCCGGAAATCCTGATGATGTCCGGAAATGAGCCTTGTGACAGGCGCAACAATGGGAATTCCAGAAGTGCCTGGGGAGGAACTACATGCAGTCCCTTTGAGTCAGCCAAACCACCCGCGTGGTGATGCCGGTTGCAATGCCAACCTTTGTCCAGCAAAAAAGGTGAAACACTCTGAGACCTTCAAACACTCTGAGCCTCACAAGACTCCGGCAAGACTACCATGAGACTCGCACTATTCCAGGGTAAACATTGAACGTCCAGATTGAAAGAGAAGGAAGTTGATTGGTGCAGATTTGAGAGTATTCTGAGAGTATTCTGACTGGCTGTGATGTGGATGAGACTGGCTGACTAAATCTCTTTGTGAACTCCGAACATTTCCGATTGCAATCAGTTCCAAGTGTGAAATTTGAAGCCTTTGTCCACTCCACTTGTCACGACAAGGCGCTTTGATGTTCTTTAGAGTTCTTTATTTGATTTTAGGCTCGAAGATAGTTTGATTATCCTTACACCTTATAGAGTTCCTTCGCTTTAGCAGAAGATCTCAGATGCATCGTGGCAGATCCCAGGCTTGGCACTTGATGACATTCTCATATGTCGTCCTAATGGCATGCCACACTGGGAGAAGGGATGTCATGACATCAAGCAGTTCCAGTACAATATAGGAGAGTGACTTGTAGACTTGAAATACATGAAGTTGTCTTGAGTATTGTCTTAGATATTTCTGTCGTCTCTTCAGGTTTCTATTCTCTGACCTGTTGTTTTCACAGTAGCCAATATAGCCTATAGCCTATAGCCTTCAAATGCATATGCCTTATATATCCTTATATGCCTTATATGCCTTATATGCCTTCATATGCCTTCATAGTATGTGCCTTCCAAGTTTCCATTTCGATCGGTGTTGCTGAGGAGTTGGATGACAAGCTGCGCCGATTTAGTGCAAGGGCTGAGTCGGGTAGTTCAACCCTCAGGCTAAGCACACTGCACTTGGAAGACTCATGCATCGTCCCATGAAGCATTTTGACCTCGTGTCAACCCTGACCCTTGTCAGCCTTGTCAACTCATTCCGCTGATGACTTGATAAAATATCTACAGTCCAGCCAAGTATTCCAAGTATTTGGACTGAGAGATTGCAGAACCAGCGTCAAACTTGCACTTGGTGAAGCACGGGGTAGTTGCAATAAGACTAACTGTGCCGCTTTGAAAGGAGCTTGCAATCATTTCAATGCTCTTCAATGGTTTTTTTAAAATGTTTTTTCACGTTTCCTCACTTTGCATGGACGTAGGGCCAGTGCTGTGGCTCAGACAACCTCAAAGCCCACGTGCAATTGGAGCTTCTAAGGGCTGCGGCGTCCGGCCAGCAGTGCCGCTTCTACGAAGCAAAGTCAAGAAACATCAACAGACACCAACAGACTCTTTCAAAAGACTGTTTGACGCGCCGTTAGAATCTGAAAGCTTCATTTGGAGCGCAGTTCTGTCAGAACTTGAAGAGTACAGAATCTGATTTGCAGTTTTAGGATGTTTTAGGCTGTTCTATAATCCGCAGTCTTTGCCCAGTATGGAAACACATGCGCTTGTCCTAACTCAACTGTACTATGCGGACTATGCGTAGATAACTCGAAGATTTCGACTCGTGTGGCACTGCCTCTTGGAAGATGCACCTGTGCATGGAGAGGCGAAACGAGGAAGGGATTGGAGTGGTGAAGTCTGGTGAAATGGCACAATTCCTGATGGACTATGCACTGACTATGCTAGGTCCCAGGTAGAAATCCTGATCATTGGTTGTGGATGTGATGTACATACGTGATGAGTAAGTTCACTTGCTGGTTCATTTATTTTTGTACTCGGCCTTGGCAGAATACGCTTCCAAGGCATCCTTGATGCAGATCTGGTCCTCCCCATCATAGGGGCTCTCAGCTGTACTGCAACTATTGCAACTATTGCAACGAAACCACTTGTAATTTTGAGATATTTTGAGTGCTGGCAGGGTTTTGTCACTGGCTGTTCTGCCTTTCGTGTGCACGGGCCTAAGATCTCTTGGCATAAACGACGCTTGTGTCAAAGGAATCACAGTGGAATTGCATTTCATTGATTTCAAAAGAGCTTACGCTCTGAGCCAAACGAATGCTATTGTGAGGCAGTGCAGGCAGCGAAACTGCCAGTCTTCGTTACAATTTCAATGAAGTCTGGAACCTACGATATGAGCCGCTGTGGCACTGCCGCCCTGGCACTCAATGTTTTGACTGCACTTGAATCGTCAAGTACTGCAAGAGATGCTAAATCTTTCGAATCTCATCCATGTGTTTTGCTTGATTTCGAATTTGTTTTGGTAGTATGCAAAGATATATGTATATATAGTGTATATATATTTAATTGCTATATATATATGTATTATGTATTGTATTGTATTGTAATGTATTGTATTGTACTGTAGTGTAATGTGAGGTAATGTCATGTAACGCAATGTAATGTAATGTAGTGTAATGTATTTAATGTATTGTATGTATTGTATATACTGTAAGTCTTGCATGTATTGCATGTCTTGCATGTCTCGCATGTCTCGCATGTCTTGTATGTATGTATGTATGTTATGTTATGTTATGTTATGTTATGTTATGATATGTACTCGTAATATTATGTTATGTAATGTTAAGTTATGTTATCTTATGTATGTACGTACGTACGTACGTATGTATGTATGTATGTAAGGTAGGATGGTAGGTAGGTAGGTAGGGAGGTAGGTATGCAGGTATGCATATGGGTATGCATATAGATATGCATATAGGTATGCATATAGGTATGCAGATAGGTATGCAGATAGGTATGCAGATAGGTATGCACATAGGTATGCATAAAGGTATGCATAAAGGTATGCATATCGGTATGCATATAGGTATGCATATAGATATGCAGATAGGTATGCAGATAGGTATGCATATAGGTATGCATATAGGATCATATAGGTATGCATATAGGTATGCATGTAGGTATGCATGTAGGTATGCATGTAGGTATGCATGTAGGTATGCATGTAGGTATGCATGTAGGTATGCATGTAGGTATGCATGTAGGTATGCATGTAGGTATGTATGTAGGTATGCATGTAGGTATGCATGTAGCTAGGTATGTAGGTATGTAGGTCTGTCTGTCTGTTTGTCTGTCTGTCTGTCCGTCGGTCCGTCTGTCCGTCCGTCCGTCCGTCTGTCTGTCTGTCTGTCTGTCTGTCTCTGTGTGTAGTATGTAAATAGACATACATAGTCGGCAGATGTAGAATAGTGCAACATGCGAGTGTATAACAATGTAATTTCAATATATAATGATGTATGTATATAATTGTATATATAATATATGTATATATAATATATGTATATATAATATATGTATATATAAATACGTATAATATGACTATTGAATAGTATATATTATTATTTATATACTGCGCGAGAAGCAACACACAGCAGATGTCCGGTGGCGAAGGCCTGGCTCAACGAAATCGTCGCCGGCAGCTGGGCTTTGATATCCACGACTTATCATATGAAGATCGGTGAAGATCGGTGAAGATCGGTGAAGATTGGTGAAGATCGGTGAAGATCGGTGAAGACTCATGATAAATTTGTGGTTTGATGATTTGACATAAATTATGCATTTTGTGCATTGCAGTTTCTTGGAGTTTTGTCCTGCCATCTTTCTTTGTTCCTAAATGTCCCGAATTGTTTTCAGATCAGCGTACCTTCAGCACCCCTACACTGACACACTCAATGCACGATGGGCAGCCTAGTAGCCTCTTGAATCATCTCTTGTCCCCGGCGACAAAAGCTACGTGGACTTGTTTCACTTGATATTCGGCATCCGGCGTCTGAAGTATGTGAATTCTTTCACGTCGGATTGATGAAACAACAGCCCAGTGAGCCAGTCCAGTGAGCCAGTGAGGTATTGCAGTATTCCTCCTGGCTGCAGGTCACTCCACAGCAGTCAGCATCATTTGTTGCAGCATCAGCTATGACTCAGCTACCCAGCTGCACTCCGTGCATTCTCCGTGCGCTCCAAGGCATGTATAATTTCTTCTGGAGCCGAACAAGATCCCCAGGTCCTAGGAAGGCAAGGTGAGAGGGATTGAGAGGGCATAGCAACTCACTTTGGACTGAAGTGTTTTGATTTTTTGCTGGCCTGAAGGTCATGCGCAGTTCATTTTTTGCATACAGGGGAAGTCTACGCCTTGTCAGTCCACCTGCCACAAGTAGCACCTGTGCAAGCTATACAAGCTTTCGTACTTTATTCTTGATATGCTCAGCATTCCCATAGGCCCGAGTTTGACTGTTCTTGTTTGGTTTTGGCGGCCTGGCAGCGAAAAGGCAATCTTGCACTTTCGTAGGTGTTTCCCTTGATTTAGGATTTCTTGGCGGGAGTTTCTTCCTCCTACCTTTGCGGTACCTCATCTATTCAAATTCTGACCCATAGCACAGCAACGCTCCACAGTATCTTTGTAGCATCAAGTCAGCCGCCTGTGCAGGGAACTTTCGCGTCAGCAACCCCCTTACCACCATCTTCTACCTAAAGGGCACCTGCAGTGCACTGTCAAGAAACCTAAAGAACAAAGGACAGAAAGACCGATCAAACGTCACGGAAAGAATATGTTTTCCATGGCCATCATAGTGGACGTTCAATCCGCAAAAATGCGTAGCCACTGCTCCACCAATCTGCCATTTGTAAAGTGATTAGGAGGACCCCAGCCCAAACCTAGCGAGACAACACTTCAGCCAATGGGCAGTGTCGCATCAAGTAGTGTGAGGAGCTAAGTGCAGTGTATGTGCCGTGTATTGGCTTATTCAATGCTCTTTGGCACTCACCAACCCTTGCCCACCCCACCACACCACACACAGAGCTGCCCAAAGACCCCAGCCGTGCCAACCGTGGCATTGGCTTGTCTAGAACGTCTAAATTTGCATCCCATGAAAGGGTCATCCAACTAGCATCAAGCCATCAGCTGGGCAGCTGAAATTTGATGCAGCTCTTTGTGGTCAGGCAAAAGCTACAAAGAGAAAAGCGACCAAGGCGACATGGCGACTCTCTGTGAGATTGAAACAGATTCCTGTCAATTTCATCTAGGGAATGTCTTGTAGTTTGTGATGGAGCATGTTACAGCCAAACTGCTACTGTTTTTTCTAAGATGTTTGAACGCTGCGTGCACAACCACAGAGATGCCGAAGTCTGACGAAAAAATCATAGCAATTCGGGCTCAAGGATCAACTCCGGATAGGTGCACAGGTTGCCCATGTCTGAAGCCACCCTAGCTGAAAAAGCCTTGATTGATTGGACAACAGATGACGACCTCCTTTTCTATGAAAGGCCCCCACGCGAAGCATGTTCTCTGTGTTCAGACACTGTTGGTACTGCCGCAGATGCATCAAGCGTCAATGTGATGGTGCGATTACAGTGTTGTGCAGCGGCTGTGTGCCGCAGATGCATCTCGAACGGGCTCTTGCCACTGTACAGTGCTTGCTGCCCCTTCTGTGAAAAAAAGCTGGCCCCCATTGACAGAATTGCCGGATGCACTCATGATGAAGACTGGATTGCTATGGAAAAGCAAGAATTCTTCCAGAATTTGCTTCGTGATGGCTTTGAAGGCTTTCGATGCACAAGTGAAAGTTGCGTCAAAGGCTGTCTTGCCCGGGCGCAGAATCCTCAAGCAGCTCTTTGTGCGGAGTGCAACCTGCCCCACTGTGCAAGATGCGGCTGCCGCTGGCCTTCAGATGGAAACCATGAGTGTGAGGACTTGGTGGCACAGAGACAGAGGCAAAAAGACCGAGAGTTCAAACTTTGCCCAGGGTGCTTTCATCCCTCGCAGCTACTCACAGGTTGCAACATCGTCAGATGTACCGTAAGCGCCTGTCATTTAGAATGGTGCTTCAGTTGTGGCAAGGCACTGAGTCAGTCCCATTGCGGTCATTTTCAATGCTCTAGTTCTACGCGGTCTACGTGCATTTTCCGCTAGAAGGCTAGAAGTGAGAAGGAGACAGGTCTTGGGAGTGGTTGTTGGTCTGGTGTCTCTGCTTAAGTTGAGCAGTTGGCACCTCCGTGCTAGGATCAGCGAGTCCAATGCTGAAGTGATACTTCCCTGAGCCATTTCCAAATTCACTCATCCGATATCATTTAATTTGTACCCTCAGCAGATTTGACTTTATTCAGAACAGCAGGATATCAATCGTTCTGCATTGACTGAACAGCTTGACGTGATTGACTTTGGAATCGAGAGTCTGGATCGGCTGTTCTTGGCCTTGTTGCTTAGTGGCTTAGTCGAAGCCTTGGCTGCAGTTCAGGTTCGTAGATGATTCCCAAGAGGGGAAGTATGAAGTATCAAAACAGTGCTTCTTACCTCTAAGTTTGGAAGGAAAATTGTGCGGTTCGATGTAAATCGTCAAGCCATAGCTGAAGTAGTTCTCAAAGATGACTTTGAAACTAAAAGCCACAATTGTCAGTCACAGGTTGTCACTTTGACCACTTTTTGGCAGGTGGAAGCAAGAGCAGAGGCTTGTTTAAGCCCTGAGGGTCTGACAGATACACCAGCAACTGCGTCTACGAATCTTGGCAGAAATTAGACTCGATCAGCTGACAAAACATGAATGTGGAGTCGTGTTGGGTGATGTTGGGTGATGTTGAGTCACTTCGAGTCATGTGGAGCCATCTTGAAGAGAGAGTGGAACAAGAATGGAAGTATCTTCAGACTTCATGGATGCATCTTGCCAAAGCCATCCAAAACCAGCAATCAGAAACAGCATCTTGCAGGGAATCTCTTTTTGTCCTCTTGGGGATCCAGTGCACACTGATGACTTCAAGGTATACGACGATCATGCCGTGCCATACGCGAAGTGTATTGCCATGTCTTGTCTGTAAGGTCAGCAAGCTATCCAGCTGTTCTGCGCGGCATCTCTCAGGCGCTGAGAGATACTTAGAGCTACATGTGTACAGCCCCATAATAATAATACTAATTAATAATAATAATAATCATAATAATAATGATAGTAATAATAATAATAGTAATAATCATAAAAATATAATAATAATAATAGTAATAATATAATAATAATAGTAATAATAATAGTAATAATAATAATAGTAATAATAATAGTAATAATAATAATAGTAATAAGCATAAAAATATAATAATAATAAGAATAGTAATAGTAATACTAATAATTAATAATAATAATGATAATAATAATATATTACACATCTGTATATACACATCCTACAATCATATACACATATACATTGTTTTCAAACACAGGCTTGCTGTTCTTGCCCCATTGACCAGCGGTCATGGCACCTGACTGCTTTTGCCAGAGGCCCTCAAAGGTTGTATATTCTCTTGAAAGTACATGTAAATGGACACACATTTTTTTGTCATTTGTGATTTTGCGTTCTCAGGGCTCTTACGATATGTCTGAGATTGCGGAAGAGCAGCATGAGAAGCACGAGCGGGACGCCTAGACCTGCAAGACAATAAGCCAACAACATACGCATGTACATATACATTATACGCATAGAGACATGTACTTACACATCTTACACATATACACGCATACATACTTACTACATGCCACATGCTACATATTACATATTCAAAGGAAGTTTAGTTCGGAAACTTCCGAATTACCAACGCTTGTCATGGCTAGCTTTCTCACCATGATGGCAACCACATCATCACCTCAATCATCATGGCAACCACATCATCATGTGAGTAGTTGGGAAGTGTGAGAGATCGGGAAAGTGTGAATTTAGGCTTGGAAAACACTCTCGGGTGCGAAACCCGGTATTTTGTCCAGCGGCTGCCGTGGTCGCTGAAGGGTCTCTGTTTCCGCGGTTGCGCGGCTTGATCGGGGAAAGTGGTCAACGAAAAGTGCACAGGACTGTTGCGATCTCGATTTCGCATAAACATAGTAAAAAACTGTCGGGTCCGGAGCGCTTTTGGAAGATGAGGTCGACAAAATGCGCACAGCACTGTAGTGAGAGCTCGATTTCAGATAAAAATTGTAAAAAAAACTGTTGGGCTCGGTGCACTTCTGGAGGATGAGGTCGGCAAAATGTGCACGAGACTGTAGCGAGAGCGCGATTTCCACTGAATGTCGGGTCCGGGGCGCATGTGTCACTGCCCCATCCTAACACGGGATAGAGGCAAAGAGAGGAGGGATTAACCTCCGAAGCCATGGCACAGCACCGTCGCCACCGCTGGACTTGGGGGGCCTCCACATAGGTGGCCAAAATTGAGAGGCACCAAGAAGAGGAGCGTCAAAATTGCGCAGAGCATCCAAAACGAATTCGGAAACGAATTCAGAAACGAATTCAACCAAAACGAATTCACAAAAGTTGGCAGGAGCCACACAGGCTCTCTTTTCTGTTCAACTTGCAGCCACACAGGTTGCACTTTTTTGACATCTTTCTTTTTAAGGGCTCTTGTCGGCCTTTCAGTTTCCACCGGGGGACCAAAAACAACACAGTGACTGGCCCATCTCACAAAGCTCTTCTTCACAATGTTGCTAGGGCTACCAAGTGTGAGACGAGAGTTTTGTTCCACCAAAACAATTTTAGCCTCAAGGGGTCTTGCCGGCATCTTCTGGGGCCGATTTTCTTTGCTCGACTGGAAAACAACAGCATTGTCAGGAGTCATCCAATAAAGAAACAGCCTAAAGACATGCAAGAGGTGTGAAACGCGGATGGACAGTAAGATCCTACTCACTCGGCCTGCGCAAGTCTGCATCCGCACGCAGCAGCATTTGCTCCAGGTGTCGGCAGTCCGCAGCAGCGTCCGCAGCCGCTGCAGGCGCAAGCGCCAGCGCCAATGCCACTCGCCAGCGCCAGCGCCAATGCGGGTAGTGACCTGAGTATGACCAGACGGCTCCTTAGTATGACCAGACAAGATGGCTGTGCCACCACCTCGGATCACACGGGCGTGCTGAAGTCGGACCCTTTGCATTCTATTGATGACTTCAGCTTCTCGAATTTTCCCCATTTGTCGGAGAAGGGACAGAGATTGGGAAACTGTAGTTTCATGGCTCCATCCAAGTCTGCGAACAAGCGGACAGGATGGAGGGCTGTGGACCCTCAAATGAGCATATCTATCACAGTTCCAAAGCACATGTTCCAAGGTCGGGTGCTGCGCCTGACCACAGTCGGGACAGCACATGTTTCCCGCTTCATCCACAATTTCTTGAGTACCTCCCCACCTTGTGCTGGCGGCAGTATGCATTCCACCAGTGACAACCGCTTTCTCATGAGGGTTACTGAGTTGTTTGTAAACTTTACGTAAGGTATCAATAAGACCATCATGAATGTTCTCGTCAAGTCCCACAGTAAGCGCGACTCGCGCATCGTTTCTATCCGAATCAAGCCAAGCAAGTAAGTTTGCCTTCCTCCAACTTTGCCGGAGGTGGTGCAAAGAAACCGCGCGTTGTTCTTTGGGCATGGTGATCTGAAAGTGCACTTCCCTGGGCACTGCCCAGTGTCCCCAGTCCTGTTCCTGCCATCCCCAAGTGTTGAGGTGCTTTCGAACAGCTCTCCAGACATCTGCCGAATTGCGTTGAAAACTGCGAGTGAGGCTGCTATCAGGGACTCTATATTTGTACCAACGCGCCAGCGCGCTCATGTACTTAGTCACCACGACAAATATCAGATCCGAGCCGTGACCCAAATCTAGTATTTGCCTGAGGTGAGGAGAAGACCTGTTCTGAGCTTTGCTTTGAGAATCACTGCTAGAGGGATTCTTTATGCCAAAAACAGCCAACTTGAAGTTTTGCAGGTGCTGGTCTTGCGCCGCTCGGAGGAGCTGAGTTTTGGTGACGTCCTGTCCCCAGGCAGCAGTGCTGGTGAGCAGGCTCATGGCGAGCTGGCTTTTAAGGGTTTGGGGAATGGGAACCGTGGCTATCTTTCGCGCCACTGTTTTTCCATTTTCGACACGGGCCAGCCTCTTGGGGTGCTGCTCAGGGTTGGCGCCCAAATAATAACCCAAGACTTCAACTTCGTTCTTGACAGGAAATTCAAAGTGCTGTTCTCTCAGGTATTTCGCAGCCGCTGCAGTTCTGCCCCAGAGCTGGGACTTCTGGTGATTGGTACTGAGTCTGGTGACTTGGGACAAACGATCCCAATCAGCTGCAGCTTCAACTAACTTCTCAACGTTGCCGCTAGTCAAGGTTCTGTCGTCCAGATAGAGCGCACATTTCACCATAGGGAAAAGCCTGATGCATCTTTTGGCTGGGCAGGACAAAATAAGAGCCAAGGTGAGCGGGGAAAAGGGGTCTCCCTGCGGCAGACTAGGGACTTTGGTCAACGGTTCAGCATGAATTGCACCAGCGAAACTTAACCAGCGCGTTTGATTCCTCCATTGGCTGGAGAGCAAACCAAGCACGTTCTGAGGGAGACCAACCCGTTTGAGGAGGTGAAGGCCCAGCTCGGTGTTCACGCTGTCGAAAGCCTTTTTGTAGTCTAGAGCCAATCCATACTGAAAGGAGGAGGCCGGACATTCTCCCCGCAAGACAAGGTGAATGACTTCAGGGTCAAGCTGCGTAGTGGCTTGAAGCGGGGCCAGGTGTTTCTCGACCACCTCATTGCATTGTTTGATCCGGCAGCGGGCCCAAAGTCGGTACAGAATAGACGCCACACTAATGGGTCTCATCTGGTCTGCACTCACCCCTTCAGGAGCATTGCCTTTAGGTATGAAAACAACTTTCCAGTGCTGCACTGCAGAAGGAAAGGTTTGCAGCGTTTCAAACCGATTAAGCATCTGAGTGATCCTTTCCCAGCCATCATCTGGGAGTGTCAAGAGGTGTTGAGCCGAAATACCGTCAGGGCCCGTGGCTTTGTTGGCCATGGTAGCAGCCATGTTACGCACCTGCCACTTATTTAGTTTGGGGAGCGTCTGAGCCTGAGTCTCCTCGGGGAGGTCATCTTTGTACATCCGGCAAAAATGTTGGGGGTCAGCGTCTGCATCAGTATCGCACCCAAAAATCGCTTTCCAGACATTGTGAATCACCTTAAGACACGCAACCCTGCCAGCCACCCCCCCTTTCAGCAAAAATTGAGGGGGACAGCTTTGTTTGATCCATTTCGTGGCTTTGGACAGGTTGGACATCTCGTTCGTCCAAGCTTCTTGTTTTGTTTTGGTCTTCTGTTTAAGAACCTCATCCAGTCTGCCCAAAAATTCCATCTCGACAAGCGTCCATTGCTTATTCAAAACCAGGTGACGTTTGCAAGGTTCCAGACTTTTAGCTATGTTGTTTACAAGACCCCTAGAGACTGGCGCACCTTTGCGGGAAAGAAAGGCAGCTTCACGTGCTCTCCTGATGCCACGTCGTAATTCCCTTTCCCTGTGAGTCTGCCCCGGAGCCCCATGATGCCCACCG